ACTTATAATAAGAAACTTACCAACATACCCTTAAAGAGAAGATGAATGAATAATTGAGTTTGCAATCACATGTTGTATGTTGATAGGCTTTAATGAAGGAGTAGAGACCCTTCATGTGAAGCAATAACTCTCCTTCTCTACAATCTTGACTGAAATTAATGAAAGAAGCTAAAAGAAATGTTTGGTGGAAAAGTGAAACACATAATTAATGTTTGCATTAATTGAAAGATGATTGATTGAGTAAATACTTTTTATCCAGTTGCTCCAAATATGAACATTAACTAATTGTTCATTTACCAAATGATTAGTACTCATAGATTCTCTTTATTAGGAAATGGACCCGAGTCTTACATCGTGCATTTTGTGTATTCTCGTTAGTAATTTGTGTTCATATAGTTATTTTGTGTATTCTCGGTAGTAATTTGTGTTCATATAGTTATTGTTACCGATATATATTATTTCTTTTTTGCTTTATTTTCGATATATTACCTTATATTTGTTTTTAGATATAATAAATTTAACTCAAAATTTAGTCCGTAAAAAAAAATTTCTACGTAAAACTGTGTTTCTTTCTTTTACGGTTATTTTTTTTTTACTTATTATTATTTTATTTGGTTGTGCATCGATTGACTTAGTATTATTACTAGACCCTATGTATTAATTTGGTAATTATTTTAAATTATACAATTGATTATGTTTCCTTATTGGACCCCAACAGGTCATCCATGTTGGAACATCATTTTTCTAGTTTCAATTTATTAGGGTTGGTGGGCTAAGCTTACAAGTCACTCCATTTCCATGGCAGCTATGAAGGTTTTATTTGTCTTTGTTTCAAGAAAGATCTACAACCATAAGCCTGGTTGAATGGGTCAAATATCAGAATCCTCTCCATGCATCTTAAATGAAATTTCTTTTTGTTTTTTGCTTTCAAAAGTACAACCCTACACATAGTAAACAAGACCTTAATCTACTGGCTGTCAGAAAGAGATATGATAACTAACCTAATAATGTTCAGAAGACTGATACGAAACTGTAACTTTCAATTTACAACTGTCACAGCAGAAAACCAAAAATAACATTTTCCATGGCATGATGTACCTGCTGCATCTGATCCACGAAAGAGTGATCATCTGCCAAAAGAATGATTTCAGAACTTGGGTCTGTGAGCTCTGCCGAGAGAATGAAGAATTTGGTACAGCTTCCGAACATGAGCTGGTCAGCATCTCTAACTTCTGTTGAGAACAAAAAATTAACAAGACATGCCCAGGAATTGTATAAGACAGAACAGAATGCATTAGTTATGCGATTCTTAGTGACCCTCCATGCTCAACAGGCAGAAGAGGGATGAGGGAGTGGAGGACATCAGTTATTAATGGCCTGTAACTGGGTTCGGGCTGAACACATAGCACGGCAACAGCAGCAACCTACACAAGCAAGTTATGTTGAGCAAAGTGAAAAGTATTGCGAAGAAAATAGCATCCCACAATTGAGGAAACCTGATATAGGTGCTTCAGATCCATTTGGTCTTTTATTGCAGGATCCACAATTTTGGGAAGCTTTGCTCTGTCAGTGAGCTGAGGCATTGCCTGTAAGAATTAATGGTTGTAATACAACACCAAGCACCGAAACTTAATTATCGAAATCTCCCGAAAACTTTATCTGACACTTTCCACTTAAATTACCCATGTGACTATAGATTGGCACTGAGATGGTGACACCTTTTCCGCTGCCTTTCTTCCCATTAGAAGCTCCAAAAGAATAACTCCGAAAGAATATACATCACTTTTATCAGTTAGTTTACCTGAAAAGTTAACCACAATCAAACCATTTCTGGAAATACCTCAAACTGATATTGAACTAATAAATGAAAATAAAAAGATTTTTTAAGTTACAAGAACTTAAATGAAATTTAAAAGTTTTTAGCAGCATACCATCTAACAGGTACTCGGGAGCTACATAGCTCAAAGTTCCGGAAAGCTTTACAGGCTTGTTCTGGGTGGTTCCAGAAAACACGGCAAGGCCAAAGTCGGAAAGCTGAATGGCAGTATACTTGTGTAATCAAATTTCATAGTTTCTAACTTAACACAATAAAGATATTATGAATTTACAACAGTAAATACATAAGGTTCGAAGAATGACAAACAATTTTTACCTTTGCATTGAAGCTGGAGTCCAGAAGGATGTTCGATGATTTTAAGTCTCTATGTATTACTGGAGGGCTGCAGTGCTCATGAAGATATTCTAGTCCTCTGGGAAACATGAGATTATAACTAAATTTATTTAAATGAACAACTGAAACTCCGAACAGTTTCAATTTTCGACCATGTGGACTAACCTAGCGATATCAACGGCAATTTTCAACCTAAGAGGCCAAGTTAGAACCGATCCACCACTATGTCCTGTGATGATGTTCATCATTGCAACCAAAAATCAAATGATCGAAAAATTTAAAAAAAAAAAGATGCATATTATTTGGTTCCTTAATGCTTTACAATTCGGAGAAAGAGAGTTTGTACCATGCAATTGATTCTCCAAAGAGCCATTTTGCATCATTTCATATACAAGCAATTTCGTTCTGCCATGAATGGAGTACCCCAAAAGATTTATTATATTAGGATGCTGGACTTTACTCAACAACTTCAACTCATTCTGCAGGAAAAAAAAAAGTTGAGAATCACATATCCAAGAATAAGTAGACAAATTGAGGAGGAAATGACTGTGACCTCAAATTCTCGATCAACGTCTTGCCCTCCACCATCCAACCTCTTTATGGCTGCAAGGAATGTCTCATCGAACGAGCCTCTATAGAGACGTCCCTGGCCACATTCCCCCAAAATATTACTCTCCTGGAAATTATTTGTTGCAGCTTCCAAAAATTGATATTCAATGACAGCAATAGATCCCTTCCTACCAGCCATCCTCAAGGAACTAAATCGATCTGAACTTCGGTTTGATGTAGTATTCACAGCATCTTCAAGTTGAAATCAAACCCAGATGAGAAGTTTAGTTCTAAATAAGAAATTTGAAGACATCAGGTAAAAAAGAAGATACCAATGTTTTCTTTAGTTTCCAAGTTAGGTTTCTTCAATTTTTTCTGTCTGCAGAGACAGAAAAATAACAGAAACAGCAGTATACCACCAAGGAGACTGGATGCAACAATAAGAGCAATAAGAATTCTTTTGTTCAAATCCTGGTGCTGCACTACAACCACTGGCATTCCTGGGTCAACATAAAAGAGTATTTAGCATGCTGTAAAATTTGAAAGAAAATAAAAAATACAAGGAGATATCTTACATTTCTTCTTTGAATATTATATTTTCTATTATAAAAGTGGAAGAGAGAATTAACTCCATGATATGCCCTATTTTCTATTAAAAACTGGAACAGAGAATTTAGCTCCATGATATGCCCTGAGTTACAGTATCACTGTCAAAAGCCCATAACAGATCTTTGATCTGGAGAAATAGTTGCCATGAACCCTAACTGCCATATTCCATATCTTTGAGTTCTTCAAGTGTGAGAATCCCCCATTTCAAAGAGGATAAAAGAAACATTTTTTTTCCTTCCCTTTCTTAGGCTACATTTTCCCAGCAACCAAACAGAGGAAAAAATCAATTTTTTTTCAGAAAATAATGCATAAATTTAGTCTCTGTATCTTGCAATGCCGCTAGAGATTAGAAAAGTAAGTTGAAATATTAGAATTATGCAAACCCATTTCCCCATTTTTAAAAAACTGGAAGAATAAACCAGAAAAAAGATGAAGTGAACTGAAAAGTAAGTGCATTCATAGATTTAAAAAAAAAAGTGGGTAATGTTTATAACAAAGTACCTGGAGATTGAGCTTCCATTTGAGCAGAGAACTGAGAAAAAGAAATGGGCTTTTTTCCCTCAAGAGAAAGACCAGGCACAGATATGGAGGAGACAGTTGAATCGGGTCTAGAGAGAATTACAGGTGAGAACAAACAGAAGCTGAAGAAAATCCAAATGGATAATAACAACACATGACTCAGATTCATGTCTTTTATTTGCAAAAATAAAAAATTCAGAGGGGCAGAGGAATAGAGTGAAACTTTCTTTTCTGGTATAAGATTTTGTTGTTTAGCATGTTTTGAATCTACTCTACTCTCTGTCCATATAAAATAAAAATGTATTGTATTTTTATGTGTGGGAAAAGGAGAGCCAAGAAAGCACTTTTTCATAACGAGAAACAAACTGAATCCGATTAATTAAATTAATCTGAGAAGATTTAGAGCAGCAGTGAATCATGTGGCAGTTATGCAAAGGTAAAAACTTTAAAAGGTTGTGGAGGGATGAATGTAAACTTTGGACGTGGGAGACATGTGGGAAGTGGTGAAAGAGAATTTGATTCCTTCTAACTGATTTGATCTTCAATTATTACTTTTCTTTCTTCTTTTTAAGTTTACGCTTTGGAGTTTCTTCTTAAAAAAAAAAAATAGGATTACGATTTTTTATAATATAATATATTAGATATAATGTATTTTAAATCTTATTTAAATATATATAATTTTAGTTTTGTGAACATATATAAATTATATTTTGAATTTTAATTAATTATATTTTTTACTTTTAAAACCAATTCACGGTCAATTATGCAAAACATGCCTAATTATGAGTCATTTATAATAAGATTTTGAAAGAAAAAATGTACCGACTCGAAATTTGAAATAAAATAAATTATAAATTGAATACGAAAAAGAAACAATAAAATTAGGGTTTACATTTCTTACACAAAAATTCATATTACCCAACAGAGTTACGAGAATAACCATTTTAAAATAAATAATGAAAAATTAAAGAAATAAATAGAAAGTAAACAATTGGGCATCCTATTCGCAACCCTCTTGTGAATCGGGATCTGGATCTTGATCCTCTTGATATGAAATAGTTAATGAAAAAGTGAGTTATACTACCTTAGTTAGAATGTCACACTACTCATCGATATAGAAATAAAGGTTAGTAAAAATTATAAAAATAAATAATAGAACTCTTAATTTAAATAAATTCATTTATCATAAATAAAATTATTTACCGCATACTTACCGTAGTAAGATGTCCAAAACCGACTAATAAAGGCAATAACATAACCAATATCATAATCTCAATCAATCAGAACAACAACTTTCTCTTTTATCTGCGTACTGGTATCTATGGGGGTCTATAGAGATGTACTCACTACGCGTGAACTTTTATTCAATATCTTTAACTAACGGGCCGTTCTCATACCCCGTCTGGTATGAGCGCCAAAAAATATCATCCCTCAATACCCCGTCTAGTAAGAGAGTGAAACAGATCGTCCTCATACCCCGTCCGATATTAGTGCCAAAAATATTATCTCTCAATACCTCGTCTGGTAATGAGAGTGAAACGAATCGTCCCCATACTCTGTTTGGTATGAGCGCAAAAATATCAATCATCGATACCCCGTCCGATATAAGACACTGTTCACGATAAGGTTTCATATGTATCAGGTCCGTCCACCATCTTCCAGGATATCCAGTAAGGCTATCATTCATCCATTCATTTAATCAAGCAATTTTCACTTATATTTAATTTTTAGTTTCACAATTTAACTGTAAATCACGGAAAATAAGCAATACATGCATCAGTAAACGCAACTGAATCATCTTACCAATTTTAGTGTATTATCATACATTTAAAATAGTAAAATCAATCAATTAGTTAAAATAGGACAATAGTAATAAATAACCAGCTCTGTCTCTATTAGTAACTTATAATTAATTATTAAGGTTTTCTAAGTTTCATAAAATACCATATTATTGATAATTAAACTTCAATTCCAGAACAGAAAATAAGGTGAGGGATTCTTACTCGAATTGGTGTCCAAAATGCTAAACTGTCAGCTGCGCCTACTAACTGTCCTCGGATTCTCTTAATTTTCCTTCGGAGATTAAAACACGTTTCGAATATCTAAAAATACCCTAAAAAATATAAAATCAATGTTAGAAACTCTTTTCGACTAATTTCAAAATTCCAGCAGGGCGACACTGCCGTGCTTCGGCGATGGCAGTTTGCCTCGGGCGTTTTCAGTTGATTTTGTACTTATCTCTGCAAGAAAACATGTTAAGGAGCCTTAGTTCATCGAAAAAAGTCAAAAAAAATAGAAGCTTACCAGGGCCAGGATTTTCTGGTACGGCGGCTTTGTCAACTCACCTTCGCAATTGGGTATTTTTCTTCGGTAATCTATGGGAAACAAAATGGTAAATACAATTGTGGAAAAATTGTACGAAACAAGAATTGGGAATGAGCTCATCGGAGGCAATTTTTTATTTTTTCAACGGCGGCGCCGTCGGACTTTACCCGTGATTTTCACCTCATCCGTCAGTCCTTTTGCTCTGATTTGGTCATGGGGGTGTTTAAAATTAAATTTCGAGCGGCTATGAGAATTTTTATCTTTTTTGGCAGTCAGTGGTAGCTCTAACGCGGTGGTGGGCTGCGGTCGACTCCCTTCCCGACGACTGGTTCTTCTTCTCCAGCAGGGGGGATTGGCGGCTAGGGTTAGGGTTTGGTGTGAAGTGAGGTATTTATATTTGTCTCCCTTTAATCTGGATTGTCCATCGCCTTTTATCTCAATCGTCTGATCGCGTTTAATAAGGAAATGAATCTAGACCATTCATCATGATTTGATCTAAACCGTACGATTGCGTTTAAAGAGAAAATAAATCTAAACTGTTCATTGCGTTTGATAGCGACCGTCCGATCGCGCCTGAGGAGGGAACGAATCCAGACTATCCACGCACGCGGGAACAAATCCGAACTGTCCGATCGTAGATATGCGGATTGCCACTGTGACCTCCCGTATGGCACTGAGTCAGCATGCCTTGCCATGCGACACGCTCCTGTTCGTCGGGGTTACTGATTGGGCAGTCGTACGTGGCATATTTTTTTTAAATTACGTTTTAACTCCCAATTTTAAATTTTTCTTTCAAAAACACCCCTATAATCTAAATTTTCACCTCTTTTTTCTAAAATTGTTTTCAATTTCATCATCTACCTATTTTTTCTAATTTTTTCATGAAATAAAAATTCATAAATTAAAAAATTATATTTATACATTAATTTTAAAATTTTAAAATTAATTCCTAGTATTACAACTCTCCCCCCTTGAAAGAAATTTGATCCATCAAATTTGTCTCTCTCTCACTCAATCAAAAAATTGGGGATACTGAGCTCTGAAGTCTGCTTCTAGCTCTCATGTGGCCTTTCCCAGTGTGTAATTCTGCCACAGGACCTTAATAAAGGGAATTTTTCGGTTGCAGAGTACTCTGCTCTTTTGGTCCACAATAATCACCAGTATCTTCTCGTAGGACAGATCCTCCTGAAGTAAAAGGGGCTTGTGAACCAATACGTGAGAGGGGTCCAGGTTGTACTTGCATAGCATGGACACATGAAACACATTATAAACCCTACATAGTTCTGAAGGTAGTGTCAGTCTATAGGCAGCAGTGTCATTTCTGTCTAAGATTTCAAATGGCCCAATAAACTAGAAATTTAGTTTCCCTCTCTTGCCAAACCTACTGATTTTCTTGAAAGAATTGACTTTAAGGAATATCTTATCACCTTTCTCAAATTCCAAATCCCTCCTCCAGGTATCCACATAACTCTTATGCTTACTCTAAGCCATCTGAATGTTCTTCCTGATCTTAACTATTTTGGTTGTAGTCTCATCTACAAGATCTGGACCGAAAAATTTTTTATCACCCACTTCTTCCCAACAGATCGACGATCTGCATGGACGATCATACAACGCCTAGTAGGGAGCCATGCCAATACTTACTTGGTAGCTGTTATTGTAAGCAAACTCTATTAGAGGTAAATGATCATCCCAATGGCCCATGAAGTCAAGAATACAAGCTCAGAGCATATCATCTAGTGTGTGGATCGTCTTTTCTGATTGTCCATCGATTTAGGGGTAGAATGTAATACTAAGGGATAGTTTCATTCCCATGGCCTGTTGAAAACTAGACCAGAATCGAAAAGTGAAACTGAGGTCCCTATCGGATATTACTGTCACTAGCACTCCATGTAAGCTGATTATCTCCCGAACATACATTCTTGCTAGCTTATCTAATGGGTCAGTCATCTTAATGGACAAGAAGTGGGAAGACTTGGTGAGCGATCAACAATTACCCAAATGACATTATGTCCCGAGCGTGCTCTAGGCAATCATGTCACAAAATCTATTATAATATGTTCACACTTCTACTCCAGAATTGGTAATGGTTGAAGTAGCTCGCCTGGGTGTTGATGTTCTGCCTTGACTTATTGACATACCAAACACTTGAAAACAAAGTCGGCCACATCTCTTTTCATCCCGTTCCACCAAAATCAGAGTCGCATACTTTGATACATCTTAATGCTTCTGGGATGTATGGCAAATTTGAGCTATTAAGCTCGTTGTCACTTAGAACACACACTCTGTCCTGAAATCTAAGCAACTCATCGGTAGAGACTCGAAATTCTGAATTTACTCTCTGTTCTACATCTTTCTTAAGGGCTGCTAGGGTGGAATCGGCGGATTGGACTTCTTTTATTTTTTGGATCAACTCAGACTGAACAATCAGGTGGGTCAAGCATGTAACTCTCTTGAGATCCTAAAGTCGTACCTGTTGTGCGGCCCCTATTACTCTGCATTCTGAAACCATCAAGTGAGCAAATATACCTGCACTTTTTCTGCTGAGTGCATCGGCTACCACGTTGCCCTTACCCGAGTGATACAAGATATTGCAATCATAGTTCTTGAGGAGTTCTATCTATCTTCTCTGACGCATGTTGAGATCATTTTGAGTGAATATGTGTTTCAAGTTCTTATGTCGGTATAGATCTGAAAAAACTCCCTATACAAGTAATGGCGTCAAGTCTTCAATATGTGGATAATTGAAGCAAGTTCTAAGTCATGAGTGGGGTAGTTTTTCCCATGACTCTTCAACTATCTAGACCCATAGGTTATGACTTTCTCATGCTACATTAGAACACAACCCAACCCCAGGTAAGAGGTATCACTATAAACTGTATATACCATTGCCCTGCTTAGTAAGGCCAACACAGGTGCAGTAGTCAATCGCTTCTTTAGTTTTGAAAAACTCCTTTCACAGTTCTCGTTCCACTC